ATTTATCGAATCTCAATTGATCTTTATCATGAACAACCACAGTTTCGCCACTTGAAATTTGTTGATGATCATTAAGAACAAAGTTACCCGAAGATGTATTGTTCAACAGTTCAAACTAAACATAAAACATTATTTGACAATCATTTCTGTCGTATGCTAATTCAACGTTTATTTACATTGTCATCTTTGATGAGTTTGATTTCAATCACGTTATCGTACGGAGTGCTTTGAAGACGTATAGCATCTTTTGTCAAATTACTAAAACGATAAAAAGTCGAATAGAGAGAGAGAAATAAAGGACATAAGTGCAGTTGCGGCAAGGGGGTAAAAGCACCACTTCACCACTTCACTGCTGAAACGGCGCCCCTGATAGGGGAGGGAAAGTACCATTTCACCACTTCCGCTTAACTTGAAGTGAAATTGAAGTGATTTTTTATTGTTTCGACCGTTTCAGCAGCGTTTTACCTAGGTGAAGTGAAGTGGTACTTTTACCCCCTTGAGTTGCGGATTTTCGGGAGGTGCGCTTGGTGCAATCGCTTGGTGTTCACAAATTAAATTGGACTTACCAAACATATCCGTTCGTAGTCGATAGCTGACATATTTTTTCCCGTGACATTTGTAAGCACAATATAAATCAACATGCAGTAATGTGATGTAGCATATTCAATTAATAAGAGGATCAAAACTAAATAATGAATGAAAACGAGAAACACCTTTACAAAAGATTCACTAATAAATCAGTTCAAAGACATAATAGAGAAAACGTTCTAAGATTTCCATAGAAGAATAAATCCTGCATTTCATATAAGATGGCATTTAAAAATATAACCAAAGCAGGGGTCAGTTCAAATTCTCAAAACTTTCGTCAATACAGCAGAAATGCTCTAAAAATCAGTACAATGACGAAGCCCTCATAATACGACCATAGTCACTATTGCAGAGGGAATAGTAATCTGTTGTGTTTTGAGTTTCTTTATTTGGCGAATATGTGAGACAAGCAAGGCGGACAAAAGAATTTTTGTCTCCCGCTTTTTGCGAAAGAAAGTGCCGTTGTTTGAAGGTCCATGTTTTATCCACTCCTTCACCAACCGAAAAATGCGTTAAGTACTGAATGTAAAGTAGAAATGCACTTTAGACTAAGTGGATTGATTGGTTTTATATTGGACCATCAATAATGAGTGAACAGGACATGGTTAGCAGAAAGAGCTTGTTTTTTTATTTTCGTCCGTTTAGTTTCTTCCACTCTGACATTTCATATGCTGGAGTAGAGTCGGGGTTTTCATTAAATAAAAGACAAAGTGAAAATAAGCTCATTAAGAATTAAATAGAGAGGATGATGGAAACGTTTCTGTTTTGCTTTGTTTCATATTTTCGAAGATAAACTACTGTTCAAAGTATCAACTACTTTTTTTACCGTTCGAATTATCAACTCTTCCCGATCAGTCTTTGCAATTTTGTATTAAGAGACAAAATGAGGGAGCGGATACCCTTAATCTGTTTCGATGATTATCTGACTGATATTGTCTCTCGAAAATTTTAGGTCTTATTATTACTTTTAAACTAATAATTGTTTAAACTTCCGCAAGACAGAAAAATGGACGAAAACGAAGACCAGTATCGATGGGAGACTGGTTATGAACGTACCTGGTAAACAAATTATTGAATTTACTTTAGTCAATGCTAATGTTATTCAGTTCTTCACAGGGAAGTAATACAAGAAGATGAAAGTGGCTCGATCAGTGCGACCGTCAATGCAATCAATCAGAAAAATAGACGAAATGAATTAGCACAAATTCCAAATGTTCGACTTGGCATGGTTCGTGAATGTACGAAGCCTTCGTACCTCTTCTCGTAGATACTTCTTTCGTAAACGATATTTAATTCATTTCTTAGATGCGGCATCTTTATGTGGTCTTGGATATGTCAGAAGCTATGAAAGATCAAGATCTTCGACCAACTCGTTTATTTTGTGCTATTGAGGTTAGGTTATCTAGTTTTGTTCTTGTTAATCGTTTTTTAACGTACCTTTTACGTGTTTTAGCTTCTAAAAGAATTTGTGTCCATGTATTTTGATTCAAATCCGATTAGTCAAATTGGCATTTTAGTGACGAAAAAGAAGCGCGTTGAAAAAATATCGGAACTAGCAGGTAAAAATGATTTATTCTCTTGCTGGAGCGTTTTTTTCATTCTTTTCCTATTAGGAAATCCACGGTCACATATTAATCTTCTCGAACAATTGAGATATCAAGACTGTGAAGGTGAATCATCTATACAAAATGCTTTAGAATTAGGTTTACAAACATTAAAGTAAGAATAATTGTTTTGTTTTTTTGCATTTGATTACAGTTTTGACTTTTTTCTTTGTACGTAGGCATATGCCAAAGTATTCCAGTCGTGAAATGCTTTTTGTCTTGGGTAGTTTAACAACTTGCGATCCTGGAAATATTTCTCAAACAATCAAAGTAAGATTTTCTAACTTTAGTTATTTAACGTTCAGAAAAGTAAATTACTACCAGAAATGTTCGTTAGTTCGTGAATAATAGTCTAATTTTGAGTTGTGAGCTATATTAATGCATGCTAATAATATGGCCTGATGGTTGTATTTCTATCATTACACTTTTGAGAACGATGACAAATGCCAGCCCTATTAGACAACAGAATTTTGTTTTCTAAAAGAAATCACCACTTAGATCATGCGTCAATGTTTCGCTTGTTGTCTCTTCTTTTTAGTTATGTAAAGAGAATGAAATACGTTGTTCTGTTATTAGTTTATCTGCCGAAGTAAGAATATTTCGTAAACTTTGTACTGATACGAAAGGTGAGAATTGTCTAGCTATATCTACTGATTTTTTTTATTGAGCTTATTTTCTTTATTATAGGTTTATACCATGTAATTATGGATTCAACACATTTTCAAGAATTATTACAAATTCATTCTCGTCCATTACCCGCCTTAACAAAATTTGAATCATCTCTAGTTCGAATGGGTTTTCCAAAATACCGCGTTTGTTCATCAGAAAGTCAAACTGGGAACAGTCCAACAACGACAACATCATTAACAAATAAGCAAGAAAAAGCGTCAATGTGTATGTGTCATTTAGAGCAACGAGATGGTTCGACAGGTTTTTCCATTAGCGGTTATTTTTGTCCTACGTGTGAAAGCAAATATTGTGAATTACCAACGGAATGTTCAGTTTGTCATTTGACGCTTGTATCAGCACCACATTTAGCTCGTTCATATCATTTTCTTTTTTTTGTTGAACAATTTATTGAAATTCCACGGAACTCATCAACGATTAGTAATGGTAATGCTCATGAACATAATCAAGATGAAACAAATCATACTGTTAATGGTGATGCAACCACTGAAACATCGAAAAAATGTTTTGGTTGTCAAATAGTATTTAATGAACGTCAATTAAACAAATTTCAATGTGTCAGTTGTAAAAACTATTTTTGCTTTGAATGTGATCTATTTATACACGGAACTGTATTTACGTGCCCCGGTTGTATAAAGTCTTCTCAATTAAGTAAATAATATGTTGATGTATATGTATGTTTGTGTGCGTGTATATTTGTCTCGATTGTTTTCTTTATTTTTCTTGTCATTTTTATATGTAATAAATAAACAGTGCTGAGTCATGTTGAAAACGAAAAATGTGAACTCTTTCAGATTTAGCTCCTACAATACGACGAAAAATAGTCGTTGGTGGAAGAGAGAAAATTTGATCACACACTGTAAACCATTATTGATGGTTAACAAAAGGTTTCCAAATTAAAACTCTGAGACAGCATATTGGAACGCGATGCAGAAAATGTTATAAGATTTCGATTGGCGCATCAATAAAAAGATTTTGGCAGATTTTAATTCATCTTCTGGAAAAACAGTTGAATATTTGAAGTGTCCTTGTTGAAGTCGTTTTTTTCGGGAACATTATCGACAATTTTAAATTCGTCCTGTGAAAACCTGTAATCCAATAATTTGATGGTTAAAAAATGTGTTCAGCTTCCTTTCTAGATTTCTCAAGTTAACTAATGTTCACACGTTTTTCTAAACTACTTTTCAAGCAAAACTCGAAAGTCTTCACCATGTCATCGGTATTTGTTAGCAGAAGTAAGCGAACAGTTTGAATGAGCGCTATCATTGTACCGTAACAGTATATCTACGAGGCTAAATACATATTTTTTTGTTACCTAATAGCTTTGGTAACGTCTTCTGAATCACCGTTCAAAAGCAATATTTTGAGAAATCACGTAGCACTGATTACAGGAGGAGGTAGTGGGATCGGTTTGGAAATCACAAGACAACTTGGTTTGCATGGATGTAAAGTCGCTGTTATGGGTAGACGTGCAGATGTATTAAAATCAGCTGTTGATTCTTTATCTTCGGAAGGAATTACAGCCATCGCTACTCCTGGTGATGTGCGATCTAATGATGATGCCGTTCGAGCTGTTCAACAGACAGTAGAAAAATATGGACAGTTAGATATATTAGTCAATAGTGCGGCTGGAAAGTAAGTCGTACAAAATATATTTAAGTTTAAAGAATTATTTAATGAATACTTCTTAATATATTTTAGTTTTTTATCAGCCGCTGAAGATTTATCGCCTAAAGGATTTCGAACGGTAATGGAAATCGATGCCATTGGCGTTTTTACAATGTGTCATGCGACATTCAGCGAAGTAAAAAAAAATCTGAGCCTCAGTTTTACTTCATTCTAAATATAAATTCTTTACTCATTTTAGCTACGCAAGAGCAATAATGCTAATATTATTAATATCAGTGCTAATCTACAATATCCTGCAACCTGGTATCAAGTGCATGCAAGCGCAGCGAAAGCGGCTATCGACAGTATTACTCGATCATTAGCATTGGAATGGGGTGAATATAAAATACGAGTAAATGGAATAGTTCCAGGTCTAATCAGTGGTACACCCGGTTTCACCAAATTGGGTGGTGATATATTAGATACAAATTTATTAACAGAAACAAGTCCACTAGGAAGACCGGGAGAGAAACATGAAGTAGCAATGGGAGTTGTCTATCTGTGCTCTACTGCAGGTTCATTTATCACTGGTCATATAATGTTCATCGACGGAGGAAACTGGCTTATGAAACCAAAGTTGGCTGCTCGTGATGTGATCAAAGCGTTTTCTAGAAATGTTGAGAAAAAAAGTCGACAAGAAGGCCTACCCGATACATATGTAAAGTGTAAACTGTAAAGTAAAAGAATATGTACACAAATTTTTTGATTTTTAATTTTTGGTAAAATTTGTTATTAATTCTGTGATTATTTATGATAAAACTATAAATCAGTTTGATTTTTATTGCTCAACATATATTACTTGAATCCGCTGTAATTATTCTTGTCAATAACATGTTCTAATTTAAGAATTAATGAACAAGGAAAATTAATTGTTTCAAGCGGGAAAGATTTTTCTTTTGATAACTTCATATAAATTATTTTGTATTTCCAGTTTGAATACAACAGAAGAATCCTACAAATAACAGATTCAAAACTGTCACATATTTCTATCCTGTATATGAAATTAAATAATTAATTTTTTGTACTTATTTGTCAAAAAATACAGGCAAATACGTAATCGACAACAACATAAACAAGCATCAAAAATATATGATATCGACAGAGATGAATAATAATATTGTGGGATACAGTGAAAATATACCTCCTTATATACAAAAAAGACAGGATAACAACATACATTTTTAAAAGTAACAGTAGTAAAAATAAATAGTTAATGAGTTGGAAGAGCAATAGTAAATAAATAAAACATAAAAGAGAAAGAGTTTATAGCAGTCCTAGACTTTTTTATTCCTCTAAATAGTTTTAATCAGTCTGTATTTTAATCACGTATACAAGAAACCACCAAACAACATTCTAATACTTTTTAATCAAAAAGTCGATTGTCGAGGCGATACTCTACATCATCATGGACCTGGCCTTTTGTCTTGATCGAAGGTGCCGCAGTGATCTGTCCTGAAATTTCGCTTAAAGTGGAGTCTATGAGAAATTCTCATCTTATTAATAAAGCCGATGATTTATAAAGAATGTGCCATTTTTATTTTATTTTTTTGTGTAAAACGCTGTATATGTAATATTAACATATTGGTCGTGTGTCTGGATAAATAGAGTTTAGTAACAACAGGTATGCTGTCAAAATTTTTGTGTTCTTCAGATTTGAAATAATATTTTTCAAAAGTTGTACCGAAATTGAACACATGGGATATTATAAAAATGTTCCGCGGACTCAGGACTGTGTTCAAGGCTAGGGCGCTTTCTGTTATCGAAACAAAAAATACAAAAATTTTTGTGCACAAATTAGTCGGCACTTTTAGAAAATATGAGCTTTTGAAAAAAGCACGAATTTTCATGCGTTAAAAGACAGATTTCTCTCGTTTTCATGTCAGAATGAGCCCGTGAAATCATACGGTATGTAGAAAAAAATCATCCAAACACATAGTTGTATCATTTTCGAATCATACAGTGTAGGTAAAACCGTTTTCGTCAAAGTTTTGTTTCTGAACGACGACAATCGTTTAATTGTCGTGGTCAGTATAATGTAAAGATTCCTATATCATGCTAAAGGAATTGGTCGAATACAGTAGACTCGCAAATATTCTCTTCATTGCTTCACAGTTTTACTTTTTACCTGCTGTTACAAACTCTATTTATCTAGACACACACGACTAATAATATTACATATACAGGGTTTTATAGAGTAGAATTCTCTGTTCAATTAGGCTGGAATGGAAACTTAAAACTTTTTCAGTCCCTCAGAAAAATAAAATAAAAGTGGCACATTCTTCATAAACCATCCGTTATTTATCAAATTTGTCAAATTACAGAGTCCAATGAACAATGTTTTCAAAAACATATGATATTATATGTTCAATCTTCTTCTCTTTTCTTCATGTACGATGAAAACATTTTCTATAAAGTTGGTTATCTCTGATGATGGTGTGAGAACACATCGCATATCAAATAATTAATTATATTAGTCTCTATTGAAATCAGTAATGTTCGTAGCAATTTTACACTTCATAATTCGACTTTTCAATCTTACTGCTCTTCCAAATACCTTTATGCACGAAGTTTATTTATTTAGCAATCTGATCTGGAAGCATAACGTCGAAAAGACGATAAAAGATCGTAAACAAATATTCATGATCCTAGATAGGACTTCTGGAATGATAACAGTATCACTCCAGCTGTGTAGGGCATGAATTGTCCTGGTATTTTGAATATTGCACCGCTGTCTACAACAATGCCTTCATATCTCAGCTGACAATATACGACAGAATCTAAAACCGGTCAAAATCATCAAGAATTCATCATTAAATTGGCTCTTGAAGATGAATTAAAGCTACTGAATTAGAAGCAAGTTTCTCGCTGTCTTCTTCTCTTGTGCAATACCTCCACTTTTTAAATATCTCTTACTACTTGTATATATGTTTCCTTGTTCATCTGATATACGTTTTCTTACAGCTTTTTTGCTAACTTTAAATCAACTTCATTTATATATCTCTGATATGATTTACTTTGCCATCTCATTTGCAAAAATAAAATTGAATTAAACAGAAAAGTTTTTGATTGTTTCTACAGAAAACAAAGTTAGCTAACATAAATCGATAAGCCTTGTCAATGTTAGCTATATATTATTAGCCAATGAAGCAATTTAAGAAGTGGTTTTATAAATTTATATCTTTTTTTGATCAAGTTCACACACCAATATTTAGAAAAAAGAACTGTTCTAAAAATACACTAAATTTTAGAAAAAACGAAGGATAAGGTAACTCAAGGTAAATAACATGTTGAAATGAAGCATTTTCAAACAGAGTCAGACGTAAGTCAAATCCAAAAATAAATCTAGCTAAATATAAGATAGAAACATCTGAATTATAGTCACCGATAGATGATGAAAAGTGAACTAAGAGTACTATTTTCTTTACGAGTATCTACAGTAGCATCATGTTGCTCATATTACCGGTTTTCCATAGTGTCGAGCCGATATTGGATAAAGAATTTAGAGAGAATTTTTCTTAGAAAGAAAAAGTTTTCTGAAAATCTTTTGAAGGGTCACTAGGTACGTCTAATCCAGATTCCTCATGCCTACACATCTCAGGTAACTCAAGTACACATAGAGATTTTCTAGAGACTTACTATGGCTTCTAGAGATGTCTTTGATTTACTGATGACAAGCTACACAGTGAAGAACTGGTTTTCACGACACTTTCATATATAGCTCTATTAATGAAAGTATTTGATTGTTATTCCAAAGATTTGCGCTATAGTATGTTCGATATGCTTTTTGGTTATTAATACTACAAAACTGTCGTACTAAATACCAAATCAGCACAACCTTAATTGAAAATTGACTAATATTTATAAATAGAAAAAAGGACAAGTTTTCTTGATGGCTGCTTAGACAACCATTGAGAATAAAAGCACATCGACTAAATTTCTTCATATTTCTGGAACAGTTGAGTGAAAATATGGTTGTGAATCTTTCACCAACCATGTATAACACACGTCACATACACGAGATGCCCGATTATTTGGTCCAGTATAGACTGTTTTGTTAGTACAATCTTTGCATAACACTTTTCCACAGTGTCTAGAAAAAAAGCACAAATTGAATACAATTTAGTCGAATTTCTTTCTCGATTAGCAAAACAGAACCATACCTGCAATGATGCTAAAAGACGAAAAGAAAGAAATATGTAAATAAAGTAAGTTATTCATATATGCTTAAAAATCGAAATAATTTACCTTTCTCCAAGTGACTGTGAAGGGTGTTTTACAATTCATACAGTCATGATAATCTTCTTCATTATGCCACCTTAACACATGCTCAGACTCTCTAATATTTTCTAACTGAATCTTAAAGACAAAAATAAAGTTATCGAAGATTTTGAACACAAACTTTTGATCGATTTACTTGTAATGACTGAGATAATCTGACAAAATCTCTTTGAACTAATTCACTGTTGTCAAGATCAATTTTCATTTTTTGTAATTGAATACGTAATGCAATATTGTCTTCGTCAGTTTTTGACTTTGTTTGATCTAATAATTCTAATTTTTCTTTCAGTTGATTTGTGAGTGTTGTGGAAACAGTTTTTGTTGTATTCAATTCAATTACTTTATGCTCCAATTGTTTTTCTAGATTATTTTTCAATCCTGTAATACGTTCATATTCTGTCTGAATACTTTGTAATACAATTATTTCATCTTTTGCTGTATTTAAATCTCGATTGAGTAAATTTTCAATTTGTTCTCGTTCTCTAATGTCGGCTTGGTAATTATTATGAAGTAATTGTAAATCATTTCGTAATTTTTGTTCTAGTTTTAATTGATTGATTAGTTGTTCTCGTAATTTCTGTAGTAATCCCCATGATTCCTAAAAATGTACCGAAAATGTACAATAGTATCAGCAGATACGTTACAATGATATACTTCAATTGTTGTTGGACACTGTGTAGTATGTGAAAGTATTCGTGTTGTTTCTTCTGTGTTTATTGTTATTAATGAATGATTTTCTGTTTCTAATCGTTTTATGTATAAATTCAATAATTCACGTTCTTTAACTAATTTTTTAACATTATTTACTTGTTCAATGAATAAATTTTCATAGTGTGTCTTCGTATCACGAAAATCAGCTTCATTCTTCTCAACTTTTTTAAATAGACTTACCAACTAAAATGAGAAAATGAAATATAATCGAATTTTTTTTTTCATAAATCAGTCAACATTTTCAAGCGAAATAATTTGGTTTTGTGATTATCTGGAAACTATGAAAGCTATAGTCTCTGAAACAAATAATCACAACGCAGCATTTCGAATCAAACAAGCAAATATCGAAATGTCTGTCAGTTGAATAATCTAAATATTCACGTTATTAATATCAAAAACAATCAGAAAAACAAAAACAAATTAAGGCTTAACAATAATTTTTACTTAGAGCAACTTTAGCGCTCACTACCATCTCATTTGAGTCTTGATCGATTGTCATTGAATAATTTCGAAAGTTTTGCATACGCCTACTATACTCCTAAAGAGAAAATTGTATCTTCTATGATCTGCTTCATAAATATAAACACTATTCCTAATATTCTATCTTTCAGAGATGAAAAACGATATATTAAAATTTTAGAACGAATATGTCGTTTAATAAATTATTTTAAAAAGAAGAATAGTAGCCCAATAAATAGCTTTATAGTTTAATGAAGCTGTAGTTGATAACCTTCTGACATGGTCATCTATACACACTTACTATCCACATATTAGCTCGTTCCTGAAAGTTGCAGAGACTAATCGGCGAAACTGTATTATACATCCCAACGTGGTGCAGGACGAATGATCAAAGACACTAAAGCATAAGTTACTTGTTCAAGGTTATTACATAACTTGTTGGTGTCTGTTTGACACACAGTTTTTAACATTCAAATATCAAAATTTTGAAAAATGACATACTTGTTCAACTAATTTATTAGCATCATGTAGTTGTTGTTCTACATGAGCACGTAACTGACTTTGTTTTTCACATTCCGCTATGGCAACTGATAGATCGTAAATTAATTTTACATTTTCTTCTTGTTTCTGACTACTTGCTATACGTAATTTTTCATTATCATCACGGTATGTCGAACATTTTTCGCAAAAATTTTGCGAAAGATCCATGATTTGTGTAATCTATATAAAGAAAAAAACAACAACATAATAAACGAAGAAATCTTAAAAATGAGTTTTACATTTTAGAAAAGTATCAAAAATTGATCGAAGAGGTTTTGAATTTAATGGATGAAAAAATCTTTGATATGGTAAGCTAAATCATTTAGGAATGAACGAAATGAGTATGGATTGTATGAACATTATCATGTCTCAATCATTAAGAATGTTGGAGACTACAAGTTCAGAATATATTTTTTTGAATGAAGAGGACAAAGTTCATATCTTTAACTAAATTTTTCATATACTAAGGTTATATATAACGGAGGAAGTTTGATCATTTGTATCCAGAGGCGGCGGAACCACTAGGCTGGGTAAGGCTTAAGCCTTACTCGGATTTGGCTCTGTTAGGCTGAGCCTTACCCCATTTTGATGTAGAATTTTGAATTTAGCACTATGCTATTTAGATAATACTTTGGCTACATTGACAGAAAGGCCTCATTTATCTGAATAAAAGACCAAAAGATAAAATGTTAACTTTTGGCATCAGAAACGCCAAGAAACCTCTAAATATATATTGTCTTTTCTTCAAAATAGCGTAGTGATCCTTTAATCATATAGATATGCCACGTTTTTCAAACAAATTTACTTTGATTAGTCTAGCGCAAACTTTGACCTTTTTACTAGGAACGTCACTTTTTTTGGAGTCTGATTAAAAATAGCCTGGATTCATGGAGCTCGAGCTGACATTTTATTTTGACGAATTGAACTCAAAAAAGTATTTTCTTGTTTGCTCGCTTGTTCTTGTTACGAAAACTTTTATTATGGAAAACTGCACTTTCTCGAAAAACTTTCTAAATTTGCTACTTTTCTTACCGCGAGCCTTACCCCATATGGGAACGTTCTGTCGCCTCTGCTTGTGTCCCAATATTTCTTTTCTTTTATGCATGATTCATAGACATGATCAGCAACATTTCATTGATAGAAAATGTACAGAAGCGACAAAGATAAATTTGAATGGATTTTATCTTCTGTTCTCCTAGGTCATGTTTGTTTCAGCGTTTCCCACGAAGTTGAAAGGGCGAAGTGATATCTTCAAACTACTTATAACAAGTATCTACTGGAACTTTTTGTTTTTATCAAAGCTTAAATTCTCTTCTCATGATCCTATACAATCAGAAATTTGTATAACTATTCTTCCAAATACGTACGTAACTGATATTCGAACAGTTATTGATGAAGAACAAAAAAAAACTTGTGGAAAGGTGGAAAAACTTACATATGCGCAACTAATCCTAAAAGATAGTCGACAGAAGGAGATGATAAAGAACTGCATGCATAAACGAAGTCTTAATATTATGTCATGACTATTCTCTCTTCGAGTATAAATCTTTTTTTTATAAATATTCTACGATAAGCAGAAACGTTTGTTTCTTCGAAAAGTTCTCATTCTTTTTTAAGTCGTGATTACCATTGCATACAAAAAATTTTCTTTCTATTGTCACACAGATGAGAACAATGTTTCATAGGTCCACATAAGTTTGGTCCAGCACATCTCTAATGTAGAGTTAGAGAGAGAAAGAGAAAGAGAGATATGAGAAAAAAATGAAAGAGAAAGATGCAGTTCTAATATATTATATATAGGTATCATTCAACACGGGTTCTATTTAAAAACTCAAACTTAATTCTAAGAATAGAATAGATCTTTTTTTCTATTCTCTAAAGGAATAAGAATGGTGTATTATTGTCATAAAAGAAAAGAAACCTAAAATCGCAACAGATTCTTCTTCCATCACAACACCCTTCTATATATGAAAAAAAAAAAGAATTTGTATGAATTGTTGAAGATGCTGCTTGACATGCTATTCTTGATTTTTCAATTTACTTTCTAAGAATGAATCTTTGTCTAAAGACTAAATTGAAAATTTTCTTTGAACCATTCATTATCTTATTATTTATGAAAAATAAAATAAAATATTGAGCTATAACATTACAAGTATTTTACCTGAGCGTATCCTCTATACAAACCTAACTCTCTTTGTATTTATTTCCTACTAGAATCTTATAGTATTCTAACATTTAAGATCTTAATAAATTCCTAGAAGGATCTTCCATGTTAGGATTCTACCAGGATTTCGGTTAGGTTTTTTTAGAATTTTAGAAAACTAAACTAAATATTCTAGCAGAATATCTCGAAAAATTGTGCCAGAAAATTCATAATCACAAACAAGAAGATATAAGATAATATGACTGTTCAGAATATAACTTATAGAAACTACTATTATTCTTGTTATCGGGTATAAGATGAAGTTCTAGTTTTAAAACAACATGTATATTATATGTCTGGTAATTAGGCGATTCGTTTATGTAAATTACACTAACCTGATACAGAAGATCTTCCCAATCGGTTTCCGATTTGTGCAGTCTAGCCGCAAGTAACTTAGTATCATCATCCTGCTCTTCTTTAGCAGTTCTTTCTGCTAAAATGAATAAATAAATATAAAATATAAAAGAGTATTCCATCGTCTCAAAATGATATGGGTATGACTTTCGCATGATATACACGCACGTTTAAGTTTATTTCTTTTGAATCGAGGCATTAATCAATCTAGCAACCGTTATCTAGTTAGAAGAGAAAAAGAAATAACTATTGTTCACCTAAACCTGTCTCAATAGCTTGACCATCGTTTGTTATTTGAAGTGTTGATGAAGGGTCAGATATTGGCAAGGAGGGATTTATATAAGGCCCTGAAGGACTGGTAAATGCACGTCGTTTTGGTAAATCATCCGTAGCTTTAGTTCCTACCGGATGTGTCTGCGCAGATATTTCTAAATATCAAATACAACGTCAGCAGATGATAACAGCACATATTGATAGAGATATGCTTTTACCTGCTAGTATATTGTGTTGTTTTGGTGTTAGTATACTGAGTAGTGTTTTCATTTGAGCTAGTTGTTTTCGTTCAAACGTGATAAAACGTTCATTGTTACGTGCATAGATTTGTAAGTATTTAGCACATTCATCTTTAGCATATTTTTCTGTTATCTGACCTATAAAAACAAAAATTAAAAATTATTAGAATTATTTTTACGATATCATTTGTGGCATAAATACGCATACTTTCAGTCAATTGATTTGTTAAAAGTTGTATTTGTTGTTTCAATTTTTCACATCGAGAATTTAATCGTACAATGGCTATTGGATAAGATGATAATGATGATGTTGTTTCATCCGATAATTTATTAGTAAGATTATCAATTGGTAAAATCAATGGGGATGGTGGCTGTTCACTTGGGATTGTTGTTACATCGTCACCAGAATCAGATTTTGATGTTGAGGATATATTATTCTTAAATAAAAAAAAACTCCACTTGTCTATTTTCAAACTGTTCATCTAATTTCAAACCTTCAAGATATTAGGATGTAATAAAAAGATGATTCAAACATAAAATTTTAATTGACACTGGCATGGCTTTTACTCTCTGACTCTTTAACTGTAATACAAAATAAACAAACTCACAGAATTATTTGACTCCATATATATAACCAAAGTGAGCAAGGATACATTCACATATCTACAAGGTTAACCTCAAACAAAAATACGGTATTTTACATAAGTAGAATCATCTCTGGATTTCAACAACCATAATGTCTAACAACTTTTAATTTTGTCTAGATTTAGACCTACTCATAAACTAACCTAATCAGCTAACCATTGTTTTGACCTGATGATTCATGAGATATGAGGATTTTATTCTCTCTCAGTATATCATTTAACTGTGTTTTTAGCAAAATATAGTCATGACTCTTTTCGATCTAAGATATGAATCTCATGTGTTGGCTTTTAATGCTTACTGAAATTAAGTTATTTTGACATTGTCCGTTAATGGTAAAAGTCGAGGTCCTCTTAAGAAAAAATATTCATAATTTACCGCTATAATTCCATTTTCTGTCGACGCTCAAGTTCTTCACAGGAACATATTAAAAAAGGTTTTTTCAAATTTTAATGAAAACGGATATTATTCAAGTGAGTTCATCACATAGATGACGAATATTATACACTGCGTTTTATCCAAAGAATTTTTTTTATGAAAATACTAGACAAAATGTGACTGTTTTACCATATTTCTACATTGTTTCGACATTATTTTTCTGTTCAAATACGTAAGGGTATATAAAACTGCGTATATGGAAAGACTTTTTATATCGGCGCACTGCTTCGGAAATTTTCTGTAGCGTTTTACATATTAGAAGTATAATGACTTATTGAAGACTGGATTTGGCATACATAAAGTCTAACAAAAAGAATGTTCTATTTGAAATTCGGTGGATAGATTGGATTTCTTTACCATACTTTTTTCAGATTCAATCCCTTTCGAAAGGTACTTGCACGAATCATATCATGTCGATACTTATTACAAGTCACAATGACTGACTGACAGAGAAGAGTTTTTTGAAGGAGAAGATAGTCGATTATTGGTAAGTAGACACTTTTCGCATAGTTTTTTTGAGAAAAAGATTTCCTGTTTTTCAAAGAAGACTTCAAGAACTTAAAATATGGAAGTTCAAATGTCGAAAACTAGAATGACGTTTTACATACGGACTACAAAAAAATAAAAAATGGTAAAACTTTTTCTTAACTAATTTTTTGCATCCTTTAAAGTAATAAGCCGAGCTCCGTATGGACTCAAAATTTCGAGTCCAGTTCACTCCATGACCTCTAAAAAGGTAGTATATAGTGTTTTTTATCTTTTTTTACTGATTTTTCCTCAATTCAAGTAAATCCAAAAGTTTTTTTCGAGTCCTTGGTCTCGAAAGTTCAATCCAGTCCTTACCGAGCTCTTGTGGTTAACCATCGTGATTCGCGAGATCCAAGAATTTCACTAGTTATGTGAAGTAGTGTAGACGATCGGAACTATCTCTGACAGAACTTTAGTTATTTATTTAAGATAAGATGACTGTGTCACAGAAAAAGAGAAAGTGTGTAAAATAAACAATAAGTAAATGATTGTGAAACTGTACGCTTATATTTCAAATGTACACCATATTATAATGTACCATGGATAAGAAACATTTTATTCCCTGCCCATTTATCACATGTTGAAGTTTTAGAGAAGACGCTTTCATTCCATAGTATCTTTTATTTACTGTCTCAATTTCTTTAGTATATTTATATTCAAAATAATTTCATCATTTTATGAAAATACAAATGTAAGCGTTTCCAAGACTTTTTCAGAAAATCTTCAAATCTACAAGACGATGCGCTATAAATATCATTTTGTTGATTATAAAAAGGTTTATATAAATTATTCTATTTACAACTTTTTAGATTTAATTAGGTTTTCTTTTTCCCCATTTGATTCGGAATACCAGAAGTGAAAACGAAGTAAACCACATGATAGTGCAATATACAACAACAACAACAACAACGACAGATGTTTCTACGCAAACCATATTCACATTAGAATAAAATGAAGAATAGTATAAAAATTATAGTAATTTAACTGTTAGATATTTGAATTCTGAATATCTTCAAAATGCCCAAAACAAGTGAATATGTTGAGAAGTTTCATTGGCATTTATGGTTATTATTTGCATTAGAAAATTGGATACTTGATTTTGGACGACCAATAGCCATGCTAATATTTCCATTAGAATGGTTTCCATTAAATTATCCGAGTGTTGGCGATTACTTTCATATGCTTTATAATATATTAACACCGTATTATTTAGAACGTTTAATCAATAAAAGTCCAATGAAATTTAATCGTAGTCTATTTCATATATTAATGACAATATTTGTCATGGGAGCAAGTATTCATTTAGTAGGAGATTCAATTAATCATCGTCTGGTATTAAACGGTTATCAATTACATTTGAGTGTTAGAGAAAATCCTATTATGCAAAAATTAGAACCAAAATCATTGGTTGAATCGTTTGAATTACTCTACTTTTATGATGAAGTACTCGGTCATTATATGTGGTAAAGTGTCTTGATATTTACATTATTTTTTTTATTTTTTGATTAAATACATCATTTTTCTTTTATTCTAGGTATATTCCCTATTTCATGTGTTTTCTACTATTTTTCAATAGTTCATTTATACCTGATCAACGAAAAAAATCAAATGAAATTAATAAGTCATCTTCTTTGCCAAAAAGTTATTGGATCCTGGCATTATTAAATTCAACATATTACTGGTATTTAGCAACAGAAGGACAAATAACACCCTTATTTGTTCTATGTACAATTATAATGACAATTATTTATATCATACGAAGAATCAAACATAATCGAATGGATATAAATGGACATTTCTTACTTTTAACATTTCATCTGACAATAGTATTTGTTTCATTATGGACAGTATTATTTTGGAATGATGAAATATTAAGAAAAAAGTATGAAGATAGTCTAATTTATGTTCCAGAACCGTGGTCCGTTTATTCCCTATATGGAAAAAAATTATTTTTAGTTTAATGTTTGATAATGAAAAGAAATTCACTAATCTATTATCATTAACAAAACAGAACCAAAATTCTTCCATCAAAAAAAAATTATTCAATAATATTAAACATTGAACAACATGTTAAACTCTTATCGTATCGATTACATACTTTATCATTCTTGCTATTTTTTCAATGAGTGAAAATGACCAAAAAGGTTTTATATTGATAAAAACAGATTTAGTTTTAGTTTGAATGCCTGTTGTTTCTAAAAGATATACTGTGACAACTGAAAAGACGAAAATTATCCTAGCTATATTTTTGAATTACAATAATTAATCTAAGTTTAGATCAAATTTACATACCAATAACGGATCTTCATTTTCATTCGATGTAAAAGAGATATTTATTTCTCTTGGCTAAAAGTCAAAAAATAAAATATAAAAAATATTTTGGAATTGTAAAAAAAACACAATCTTTCAAATACATACAAGCGTTTCAAGTTCATTTAATTTTTCTTTTGTCTCTTTCAATTGTGATTTAAGTTGATTGATTTCGGCTTCCATTGGTAAAATAACAGATTTGAGCATGGATGTACTTTCCTGTGCCTAAATTTAAATATGACAAAATTTCTTAATATAGATGCAATTTTTAATATAATTAATGAAAAATTTTTTCTTATTTTAAGGGAGAGGGTTCTCCCATTTAGATTTGGTTTAAACTTTGTCACATTGTAGAGAACACTTCAAAATATATAGGAAAAGAGTTTGGAGGTTTACGGACTTGTAGTTTTCTAGAAAAAAAGTTTTTAACTTTTTCGACTTTTTTTGCTCATTTTTTAAAATTTAAATAAAATTTTTACTTTTTGACACCTCGATTTTTTAACCAATCGATAGAGCGCATCGAGATGTATATGTGAAAAGACTATCATAGTTCTCGAACAAGGTTTGGCGACGAAATTCGAATTTTACCTTGAGAATGGATTTTCGGGAATAAAAGTGTACGTTTTGCCAGCAGTTTCTCTACGGGGAAGCACTTTAGAGCGAAAATGTGAGTGTAGAAGTTGTTTATCTAAATTTCTTAAGGTCAATCTTAAAATTGAAAATACTGAGGCGTAGAATCGCGGAGAAAAGGCGCTCTAATTTTTACGCTACTTTTCTTTTCTTCGGAGCCAAAGGATAGTGTTCAGAAAATCTTCAACTCATAGAACAACATAGACATTTTCCCATACGATATCGAATTGAAGTGTCAAAAATCGAAAAAATAAAGATTTTCAGATCGGTTTTTCACAGTCCCCGAGTACAAAATCGTTCATCATCAACTTCTGCGTGAAATAATCGAAGAAATTTTTTAAATTTGTAAAAGTCAATTCTTAAATTAAACTTTACGAAAATTTAAACTTTAAAAAACCAACAATTTTTGTTCCATAATGCTTTCCTAAAGTGAAACGCTATTCAAAGATTTCTTAAAAATACTTTTTGAGCTAGAAATGGTATGGGCAAGTACAAGTCAAATTTCTCCGTTAGACTTCATCCGATAACGATGAAAATTGTTTTCTATATAAATCCCAATGTGTCTCTCCAATGACGAAAGATTCAAGACTCCCTTTCGAAAAATGAAATATTTATAGAAATTTAGAAAATGTGGGCGAAAAACCCATGTGAAGTTTAAAAAAAAATTTCTCAAAAGCTATGGATCCCGAAACTGTAAAAGGTCTTGAAATATATGTTTTAAAGTGTGCTGTACAAATTGATCGAAAAAAATGGGTGGCAGGATCCTCCCTTAAACAACGTACTTTTCGCATATCTTCTTCAAGTGACGCATTTTCTTGTACCCAAGTTGGTTGTTGATTATCCACAGTATCACGTAATAACTTATTACGTAATGATCGTGATATATCAGCTAACACACTGTCTCTTCAAATTAAAATTGGATGTATAAACATATAATATATTTCAGATGAACAAGTTATCTCACCTATCATCAACAACTTTTAATTTTAAATCTAATGTTTCTTGTTGCAATGCTTCATATTTTCGTCGAAGAGAATTGTATTCTGTTTCAAATTTTATTCTAGCATCATTAACAGCATCTCGAACGGTTTCTAAAATAGAAAAAAAAAAGAAATAATATAGTGAAAACAAACAAATAAACGAGAACAAAACAGACTTACCTTGCGTCAAAGTATTTATCGACGCTAATTCTTGTTGATATTTTTGTCGTATATCAGCAATTTCGGCTATTTTTGTTGATTCAGCAAATTCGGCAACACTTGTTATACTGTGTAACTGTTTTTGAAGTGATTCAATATAATCTTTTACATTAGTTGGTAAGTTTATTAAATCTAAATTTGAATACATTTACTGCATGTTTATTGTTATTCTAGAAATGACCTACCTATTGTGTCTGTCATATTTTCCATCTAAAATAAGTAAAAACAAATAAAGTTGCTCAAGAACTGTTATTTTCAGACATTTTATCATAGTCTTAACTTATTACATTTTTTTGCAAATTAGCACTTTCTGCACAATTTACAATCGTCAAACTACTATCATCAATTTCAATAACAACAGGTTAACGTTGATGTTTTTCGAATGTTTTTATTTTATTTATATCGAACATTTCCAGATGTTTGCGATCTCTTCAACGACTATCACTGGTCTTGAAACATTCGACATAAACAAACAAAAAATTACCAAAGTAACAGCTACCAGTAGTTGTATTGTTGTTACTACTCAACAGTAAAAAATCAGGAGAGGAAACGAGCAAGACAGAATGATAGTCAAAAATGTACAAAAAAATAACTCACATTACGTCCGTCTAGAGAAAATTAAACCAAAGCCGGATATAATAATAGCATGCTATCGTGATTTCTGTACAAAATTTTGCTTCTCTATATAGCTTGTGGAGAAGCAAGACTACAAATCTTCAATTACCTGATACAGTATGGCGATGAATCCTTATCGATATGTGGGATAGTCCCGATCCCTCAGATTTTGATTGGTGTTCATAAAATTCAGCAGCTATGACGTGAAGCTTATCTAATTTTTCTGAGAAAAGGTATCAAAACCTTTTTGTACCTCCATGAATCAAGTATCGAGTTACGCCATGACCTCAAGTTGAATACAATATTTTGATTTTTTGAAATCGATTGTAATGTTTTGTTTCTAGCATTTACTATTTTGTTTTCTAAGCTTTTTATGTTGGGTTTTTCCTAGTATAATTTTGAAAACAAATATAAGTATATACGAGTGTTTGAAAACTGCCGGGCGTCAAAAGCAGCTATCAAGAAGCACTTTCCTCATCTTCTCACATTTTTAATAATGCTGACACTTATTTCTTACGGCTAGTAAAGTATTATATTATAGTACATATAAACAATTATTGATGTCTAGTTAATAAGGTTCTAATGTAGATTGCGTCTCGACTGGTGAATAAAAACCAATTGAGAGATGCCAGACGCCCTCTATGGTGTTTTCTATACTTGTATCTACACGCGTTATATTCAATTAGCATAGTCTCTATATACTACTGAAAAAGAGGAGAATTCTAGCATCTCTATTTTCCATTCTGAAAAATCTGTTAAAATTCAGTCAAATATAATTTCTTTTAGGACATTGTATATATGAGATAAAGGCAACAACTTTGTTTCACTTACGATGTAACATTAATTGAAAAGTAAATCCTAGTTGAGAATTCAGTTTATAGTAATATATATTTTGAGAAATGAATACCTGAGAAAATGAAGAATATTTATCTGTTATTCCTGGTTTTCATCGGATCTCATTCCTTCAGAATAAGAGGCACACATGTAAAACTGGTTTCAAGTTAATGGTAGTTGTCACTAGTTATTTGTTTATAGACGTCTATGCGCGACTTGAGGAAAAGACCTATAAAATCTATATAAAATCTATCTATATTTCTTTGAATATTTATTTAACGCTTCTGTTATGTATGAAAAAAGAGACATAGATAAGCTATTAAACTTAATACTCTCAAAGTATGTCGAAGAGAGCATGAGACAAGACAAACAGAAGAGAAAAACTGTGACATATTTTTATTGCATTTTAACTTCATTGATACTTTGTGAAGAATGTTTTACTTTACTCGGCATTACTTTAGATTTAACTAACCTTACACAAATGGCGGATTCGCATAAACTATTAACACATGTTCTTCTGTTATAAAATTTAAGTACAGAATCGAGTGATTTGAAAAAGATAAAACATGCATTTTTGTGCATTACAAAAGCAAATTTTATGTATAAAAGCATTTGAATCTGGTAAAAATGTTAGTAAAGAAAATTTAACTCAAGAGTTTACGCATCGTGATTTATTAACATTTACAAGTAAACAGGATTGCGATGAATATTCTGAGCATCCTGAACATAAAGAATTTGCCGAATTATTAACTTCTCATAAGGAAAAAACATTTGTTATCAATTAATAAACACGTAATGTTCCAAAAAGTGGTATCTGAAAACTTCTGTAAAACGTACACATTTCTAAATGATGAAGAAAGCCGAAAATTATAGCGAATATACAGATAGAGACAGGAATGTATGCGATCGCTAGTAAACTTAGCAAAAGGACAAAATAAACTTTAATCCCCTTGCAGTGTACTACCGAAAATATAGAATTTTGGAGATTCTTTAGCTCTCACTTCTATGGTTATAGAAATAATACATTGAAAAACTGAAATTATAGATCGAATAGCATAGTTTAGCAAAAATTGCGTTCAGCTATTAATTTGCATCAATATCTATCTTTTAGACTAGAGATTAAAGTTTATTTTATACTTTTCCGCTAAAATAAACAGTGACTGTATATATTCTACAGTGAATCTATAGTGTGAGATTTCTTTGGGTTTTTGACCAATACCTATATTCGCTAGTTTTCTATGTTCTCGCAACATTTATTTGTATGCTGCTGGATGCTTTGCTTTTTTCTGGTAACATTGATTAAAGTTGTTGACGAATAAAGATTAAAGTTTACTTATCTAGTGCGATAAGACACCCTCAATGTACATGGATAAAGATCAGTAAAATCCTAACAACCGTGAAGTAAACCTCTGGCTAGAACTGAAAACCACAACCACTGTGAAATTATAACGTGAAAGCCAAAGGAGAGCATACGCCCTTCCGAGAACGCAGAATTTTGAAATAAGATCGATCTTGTAAGAACAGACAACAAGATTTTGTGGATTTTATCGCAAGGAATTTAAACACACTACACCAATGACTGCTTCTGCAAGATCTCATACGATAATACAACTATTTATCATATCGTGCAAGACCTTATCAATTCTTCTGCACTGGTCTTGTAAGATGTTATAGTAATATCTCACAAGATTAACCAGATCTTACATGATCTTCTGACAAGATCTTGTAAGAGCTTACTGTATGATCTTTTTACAAGATTCTGTAAAAAATATCAGATAGTGTAAAACGTGTTTCAGTTGGATTTTATTGTTTGAGGAAAATCAGCGATTGTCAGATTTTCAGAAAATGTAGAAAGCAAATGCCGTGCGTGCGCCTAGTCGTCAAGAGCTCACTTACACTGAGTAATGAGCGCATGCACACATAATAATGATAAGGACGATAAACGAAACGCATCGTTAAATAGCTCAAAACAAGACAGCTACCGTACAAAAAAAGAGAAACAGTTTCATGTCATATGTTATATGAAAAATATTATTGTAAATATTAGAGAAGACTATATTCTATTAAGTACGTCATTTGATAGCCTAGGGAGCAATTTTCATCTCATTGCATTACGTATAACAAAAACAGTTCAGAATTAGAGAAAGAGAGAGAAAATGATAATCTACGCGTAAGCATAATATGTAGTTCATGAAATAATATTTCTTTGAGAGAATAGTTACGTCAATAAAAGAATGACAGAGGTGCTTGAAATTTCACGTCTACATAACCTGATTATTTTAGCACATAAATCATTTGTTTCACTGAAATCATATTGACTAGTAATCAATTGTTCTACAGAAAGATATTAAAAGATATATATATTACAGTCTTTGTTATAAAAATATGGCATTCTTTCTTCTCAGCCTAGTGTAAAATCAGAATGGCTGACTTACAATATCTCGTCTCTAGGCCTTATTACTAATATTTTCTTCTTAGTTTTAGTTCCTAGAATAGAAAATTTTCAAATTTGTGAAAGGGTGCACGAAACATGATTATATATCTAGAAAAAGTGAGGAGAAAATTTGCGCAGTAGAACTAGAGTAATTGGATCAATAATTAGATATCTTTCTTCAATAATCAAAAAAATATTTATCGCCTTCATTCGCAACTAATATTCTAGCACATGAACATCATTGTATAAAATCACAAATATAAACAGTTCTTTTTCTGAGTGTTAGAATCCTGCGACTTTCATACTGACGTGTTTGTGAAAATGTCGATATTTGAGCTTTGTTCTATGTAAAATAAACCAAATATGTATTTTAATCACCTTCTGTTCAAATCTGCGTATGACATTTGATCGTTCATGTCGTGATGTTTGCTATGCAAGAATCTAATTTAATGTTTTTCTTATAGTATAATGCAATTGCTCTCTTTTTGCTTAGAAAATCAAAGAATAGACTAGAGTATAAGAAAAAAGAAACTCTTTTTCTTATAAATATCAAATTATATTTTTTGATATAATTTAATTGTTGTTGTTTCTAAAATAATGATAGATAGTTAGAGCCGATGGAGTACAATTTTTTTTCAATTTCGTTAACAAATGAACTATCTGCACAACAGCTATTGACCGATTTTGGCTTTATTTGATTGAAAAGATTTCGTGAGCTATTCTTGTCATAAGAGTTTTATTATATGAGCTGTTTACAAGCACACTTTCAATGAAAAAGTCATTGTGATATTGTTGTGTAAGATTGTCAGAAAATCAGGTATCAGCAATAGGCGTCTCAAAACGAGAAATTCTGTTGTTTACTATAGAGATAAACAGACGATGTGCTATTTAATTATGTATAAGAGATTCCAAAGGGACTGTAGTCTGCTACTAAATACTTTTGATCAGTTTCATCAAGCGGAAATGCGTGGAAAATATTACTCGTCTCGATTTTTCATCTGGAATTTTTTAACACCGACTCTCACTTCCCTAGCAACTAAAATCCTGGCTTCGTCTCGACGATAGACTCTCTGTACAGGATATTCAAAGGATATTGTTCGCACTTTCGTAAAAACTCCCATAGAAATTCTATATTCGACAGAAGGCCCACAAGATGTCTCATTCTTCCATAAGTGATGAGAGTTGGGAGATGGTTTGAACTCTCATCACCTCGTTGTTTTTCTATTCATCGTTTGGTTTGGTTCACTTTTAAAAAATGTGATACAAGAAAACATCAATTTTTTAAAAAGTTTTCAAAGTTTTTCTTCAAGTACATATCAGTCGCAAAAGACATTGCCGTCACTATCATCATAGTTGCTGACTTTTAGATACATGTAGGAAAAATACATTAGTTAGTCTGAACTTTTAACGGGAAAAGCAGGGGAAAAGAGTTCAGTATGGTAAAGCTTGGTATCCGTCGACTATAATGCCAACGGAAAAGAGAGTGTAACAACGGTACGAATCGATGATGGAGTTAATTTTCTGCATTTTTATCTCTCTATCATTAACATGTGCTCAAAAGTAATAAAATTTTTCAGAAAAATATTATGGCAGCCAACTTTATTGACATAGACAGAAGCATAACGTGAAAAATTACATTCTTTATTGTTTAATAACATTTTATTTTTCTTTTTCTATCATTTTCTATCTTTGTTTTACCTATATTTTGTGGGAATAGTTAATTGCGACAAGTGCAAGAATGTATGTTGAATTTACAGGTTAAGACAGACTGCTTTGAGATATTGTGTATGTGAGCTCATTTTAAAAGGAGTTCACTGTATGCGAATGCTATGAAGATAATAAACATTGACTATTATTCTCTGACTCCAGATGTTGCTTATCGATATGAAAGCGTCTTTCACTTCTATTTCTTACCCTTAACTCATCATATTCAGCATCTCATTGATACCACTAACTTGATTTTGTTTCTGAGACAAAAATTCATTTTAATATAATTCATTCTCCGCTGTTCAGAATCTTTTTACGGATTGCACATGAATGTTTTGTATACAAAGCTAATTTGAGATCTATAGCATTATACTACAAAAGCCTTTTTTTTCTGAGCAAAAACTAATTCATCTGTCATCAGTGCATCATCTTTACTGGCAGTCTAACGTCTATTTTCGACATTTTTATACATTGTATGTCTGGTAATGGATGTTGTCTATTGTCGACAGATTAAATTTTTTCTCTATGTTATCCATCATAAAATCAGAGAACGAATGAAAACAGTGAAGTCTAAACTTTAATTATTTTCGTACATACACAAGTTGATACTCGGTTCTGCTGTATAATATACAGAAAATAATGCAATTTTGACACAAAAATAGTGATGATTCTATTTTTAACTAGTGAAAATCGAAAAAAAAACGCATTAGACTATTTTCAAATAAAAGTTTCTATGTCTAATTACAAAGAAGCCTTAAATAGAAGGAACAGTCACTTAGTAAAAAGTTCCAATTAGCTATAAAGTCTCTTTTCCATCATGGGTATCCTTTTAATCTTGCACATCTTTATTACTAATGGAATATAGATAATAAGAGGGAGAATCTTAATAAAAGGAGCGTATTTTTAAACTTGTATTGATACTACGTGCCAATATTTTTCTGGAATGTTAGTTCACATTCGAGATTAGTTTTTTACCACTTTTGTTCTAAAAAGTGGTAAAAAACTAATCTTGAATGTAACTGTTCCATATTTTTAATATTCGACATTGAAGTTTGTAATGCTAGCAAATGGAAAATAATGATTATTTGTTCTATACTGTTCTAACTACAGTTTTTTTCTTTTAACTCAAATTCTCCACAGTACTATTCAAAGGTATATGATCTTTTTTATAAAATTATCATTGACAAATGACAGTTTCTAGTGTTTAATGTAGAATGAAATAATCCAATATAGAAAAAGTTAAATATATAATCTCCACAATTGTGAGGTAAGGTTTACTTTGTGAAAAGTTTCAAGCTTTTTCTTCAATATAAGTGATAATGAAGTTTGAAATTTAGAAATAAGTTTTGTTGTAAACATTTGGTATTTTTGTATGCTTTATTATTCTCTACTCTTATCTAATATCTTCATGGATGCAGAGGTGAACAGACGAGAATTTGTAAAGAGTTTTATTAACGCATGTATGTATTATAGAGAAGATTTACTGTACAAGTCTAGATAGTTTGTAGAGACGAAAGAATAAATTTCGATTGATAATTTCCATATATTGCAATTTAAGTGTAGTAGCTCTCTTCTGACCTGAGAAATACATATAATATATGAAATGGATGTCCAATTTTAATGATGAACGATGAGCAATCTGATCTTCTTTTATTTATTCTCTCACTAATAGTAGGTAACAAAATTAATAATAATATTCGTGATTGTTACACTTTTGAAAAAAAATTAAAACAATTATTCTTCGTCTTTTCATTTAATTTTTTCCCTTTTCTTGCTAATGAACACCAACGAGTCGAATCACTACACTAAAAATAAAAGAAAAACATAAAAATTTCCATTCAGAATTTTTTTCAAAAGGAAAACATTACATATGAACGTACGAATAGGAAAGAATACCTGCATGGGTATGTATGTTTAACATCAGCCTAAAAAATGTTTTTATATATTTTAGTATACAGTCTAACCATTAATCAAATCATTAGTTTTAAAATGGTTTGAGAATGATTGAAAAAATTGTCGGCTTCGGTATTCTAACGGCTATCACAGTTATTGGAAACACAATTATCATAATAGCGATACGTGTTGAGCCACGTTTGAAAGGCGTACGTATAAAACTATGTAGTCTTATTGATCTATCTAACGATATTTATTTAGGTAAGTAACTATTTAATTATTAATTTGGCAGCTGCTGATTTCTTAATTGGCACCACCGTAATTCCTCTGATATCCATTTGGGAAACATATGGCACTTGGAAATTCAACACCCGTTTATGCAATGCTTGGACATGTTGCTCTCTTTTATTTTGTACTGTCTCGTTTCTGACAATGTCAGCAATTGCATTAGATCGTTATCTTTATCTCATTGAATCAAAAATGGATCGAAAAAAAGAAGCGTCTCGTCGTGCTTTCATACTCATCGTCCTAACGTGGTTAATTCCATGTCTCGTCTGGATACCTGGTTAGTTGAAATTGACTCCTAATCATGTAATATTAAATTGATGATATGAGACTGTTTGTCCTTCTAGGGGTTCTTGGACGCAGTTATGCTGGCTATAGTCCTCTCGTAGCTGATGGATGTTACTTTCAAGCACCAGCTTTATTTGCTTTATTAACGACGATTGTATTATTTTTCATTCCCATGATCGGAATGATTGTTTTGTATGTGAAAATTTTTCGTGTGTTGCATGGTCAGATGAATCGTCTTTCCTTGTGGTTAACTGAAACTGATTCAAATAATGAATATGATCAAGGATCTCTTCATGCTTTGTCAACTACGCGTGATTCAACACCGAGTCTCACATCAGCCTATCATCAACGTTCAATTGGTAGCTGTAACGGTAATTATTTTATTAATAGTAAAAATGTCACTTGTGCGAGTTTTACAAATCTTCGTTCCCCAAATAATAACAATACAAATAGAGGAACATATCGTGTCACACGGCAGAGTTCTGTACCACTTCAATCATTAGCACTTACTGAACCACGAGAAACAACAGCAGTTGTCGAAGGACCGCATAAATTTAAACGTGCTGTTCATGCTATTGTTTGGCTAGGTCGAACGAGAAATAGCGTTTTTGGCAATTCAAATCAGTTAAAAGGAAGTTTCAAAGAATTTCGTGAAAATTCTCGAATGCGTAGTAGAAAAAAACTGTTTTATACGGCAGATAGGCTAAATCCACATCATCGTAATTCAACATATCGTCGAGCGATGGTTACCGACTCGTTATTACAACGTCAACGAAGTGCTGAAAGACGACAACAACAACAAAAAATGCGTTTAATTAAACAAAGACGAGTAGCAAGAACACTCGGAGTATTAATATTCGTTTTTCTGGTTTCATGGCTTCCGTTCACTATCGCCTGGCCGATTCAACGATTCTGTTACAAATGTGTATCAAATAACTTGTTACGAAAAACTTGGTGGTTAACATATGCAAATACATTTATTAACCCATTTCTTTATTTTTTTTTAAACAAAGATTTCCGCTATGCTTTACGAAGAATTTTAAGATGTTGTTTCAAACAGAGACAAAATGGAATAAAGAAAAATAATCGTTGATAAACTAATTGTTTCAGCAAACTACTTAGTTCTAATCCATTTCCATCTCTTTTTCGGTCGCCCAGATGTTTTTAGTGAGTAATATATGCCTAAAAATATGGTAACGAATCTAAAAATGACATGAATTAAATGAGATTGTCCAGGTGGTCAATCAACTACACCTAATGATCATAACACATTGTTAGCTCAAAAATTATTTGTGTGTGTGTGTGATGATAAATCTTTTGTTTTTCAATTTCAATTTTTTGTTTTTTATCGAAACAAGAGCACACACAAATTATGTAGTACAAATAATAATAATATAAAAGTTCATCGTATCGAACAATTTAATATCATACACACATACAGAAAAAGAAAAAATCATAAATGAATCTAACAACAACAACGATAACAACAATAAACTATTTTTTCCATTCTTATCTACTTCTGAATAAAAAAAAGAAAAACTGAGTAGTTTCCGCTACAAACAAGAAAAAAAAAGTAACATTTTCATCATCATTATTAGTGCATGAATTGTGATAAAAACATTAGCCTTGACGTGCACTATTAAAAATAAAAAAGATTTTTAATGCTTTAGTCTAAAAACGTAAGAGAATTGATTGAAATTTACTGTCTTCAAGTCATAGTGAATCAATCTCAAAAAAAATATTTGACTTAATATTTTAATAGAGTAGACAATAAACGTACCGCAACGTGCGAACTAAACTCAAATCTGAGCAGCCCTAATTTTTTGTTCTGAACGATGATAAACATTTGCTGGTATAAGTAATTCATGAAGAAATTTTTTATCACCATTTATATATTCACGTGCAGTATCACCGTGTCCTTGTAATATCCATTTTGTTGTTAATAAACCATCAATACCAACGGGTCCACGAGCGTGTATACGTCCGGTACTAATTCCAACTTCAGCACCTGAAATAAATTAAAGTTGTTAACAATCGACGTCTTTCTTTCTTGAACCGCTGCATAAGATGAAAAATTTTTATCAAAGAAAATCACTGAAAGTGTACAAGGAGCTAAGGTGGTTTCAGCTTTGTAAATCTGTTATAGTGGCTGTGTTTAGTTGAACGACAACTACTAAGTATAATATTAAAGAGTTTTACGAATATCAAATGATCTTTGTACTAGATATATAAAATTCCTACCTAATCCGAATCGATATCCATCAGAAAATCGAGTGCTTGCATTGTGAAAAACACACGCACTATCCACACATTCTAGAAAATCGTTTGCTGTTTCTCCTGCAAAAAGAAATAAGTCTAATGAAAATATCACTCAGATTATTATGTTAATACGTACGATTTTGTGTTACAATTGAATCTGTATGATTTGACCCAAATTTGTTTATATGTTCAACAGCATCATTGACATCATCCACAACTTCTATATTACATTGTAAATCTCCATACTCAATACGAAGTGATGATGCAAGTGGAGGAGGAAAAGTCATCATTGATGATAGACGTGATCCAGCATATATTTTCACTTTTTCCAATCGAAATAATTCAATTAATGATTCGAAAAATGGTGTACGAATAAGATCTTTATGAACTAATACCGTTTCCACTGCATTACACGCTGACGGATAATCACATTTAGAATCACGAACTAAAAACAATTTAATAAACATAGATACTAGAATTAGATAGAGAATAATAATAGTTAATACCTATTTTTAATGCCATATCCAGATCGGCTTCTTTATCAATGAATACATGACAAATTCCTTCACTATGACCTAGTACTGGTATTCGAAAACTTTGTTCCTGAATCGATTTTACCAGTTCAGACGAGCCTCGAGGTATTACAAGATCAATATATTTGCCTAATTGCAATAAATCACTAACTTGCTCGCGTGTATTAATCTTCAAATTTAAAAAAATTTTTAAAAAAGTAGAAATATAAAATATATAAAATATTACCAATCCAATCGTATCTCGAGAGACATAGGGTTCTAGAGCATCTTGCATCAATTTGAACAATATTTCATTTGAATGTTTTGCTTCTGAACCACCTTTTAGCAACACACCATTTCCAGAACAGATAGATAAGGCAGCTATCTGGAGTAGAACATTATGTATTAATTTTCAATAGTATTCAGCCTAATTGTTGTTTCATACCTGTGGTAAACTATCAGGTCGTGATTCAAAAATAACTAATAATACTCCAATAGGAACAGTAATCTAATATAATATGAAAAAAAAGTGAAAAAGCATATTCGTTCGGTTAGTTTCCTTACTTGATTTAACATTAAACCATCGGCTAATCTTGTTTGACGAATAACTTGACCTATTAAAATTGAAATCTAAGTAGTAAAAAAAGATCTACTATCATCGAAAAATTCTTACCTAAAACATCGGCTTTCTCCGCGATTTGTTGTAGTCCAGTTGATAGAATTTGTAATTTTTTCTCAGTTAATCCTAGACGTGAGATTAATGAAGATTTCAATCCTATTAATAATAAACGGTTAATTCTCAATGAGTGAATGAATAGATAATATACGCCATACCAATCTTAGATGCTTCTTCAAAATCTCTTTTATTTGCATTTAAAATCTCTTTTGAATAATCTATTAAATTTGATGCCATTTTATAGATAATAGCTTGTCGTTGTTCCGTACTTAATCGCTGTAAATGGCGACTTCCATCGCGTGCTAAAAAAGAACATAGGACAAATACAGTATATTCAAACTTAATAAATCATTTAATTCACCTTTGAGAGCTTGAACATCAACCGGAATCGAATTTGATGGAGTATTAGTAAAAAATGTGCCAATTTTTTTTCCATCCATAATATTTAGAATTGCTTTATCTACTTGACCATTACTAATAATAACGGCAACATTATGGTCAAGTGCCCACGCTGCTGCTTTAACCTAAATCAAATAAAAAAAAATACTGATAGATTATCTATTTTCAATTTTTATCAACAAGATTAAAATTATTCTAACTTTGCTTTCCATTCCACCAGTACCAACTTTGGATCGTACTCCAAATGTAATCGATTGTGACTCTTCTTTTGGACAAAATGAATATAGTAATCTTGATCCTTCCATGGCTGGTGGTCCTGTATACAATCCATTAACATCACTCATAATTAACAATAAATCAGCATTAATTAATACAGCTAAACGTGCTGATAATGAATCATTATCATTGATGATAATTCCATCTTTATCTCCTGAAACTTCACTATCTGTATCAGTACAAGGTGCTACCGCATCATTTGTATTTAAAATTGGAACAATATTTAAATTTAATAGTTCGTTTAATGTTGCTTGCAAATTTTTTCTTGAATCAGGATTGTAAAAATCGGTTTTTGTCACGAGTACCTTAATAAAACATATAGTTAGTACGAAGAATATCGCTAGTATACAATGTTTACTTGTGCCACTCCAATATTATATTGTTGAAACATTCGTTCATATAACGACATTAAACCTTTTTGACCATAGGCAGCACAAGCTTTAAACAAAACTCAAATACGGATATCATTTCTTTTTACGTATTTTGTGTTTACCTTGCCGTTGTATAGCTAAGCGACTATTCTAAACAAATAAGAAAGAGTTTTTGTAGAATTTTTCAATCAACTAACATTGTTTAGAGCTTACCTGTAAAATATCTTTTGGTGATAGAGATTTTCTCATTGTCATTGTCATAATTGCTTCTTGACGTAATAATTGACGACCAAATGCAACAGCACCAGATGTTACCATCAACATTTGTTTACCTTCATTCTGTAACTGTGATACCTATAAAGAGAAAACTTATTACATAATAGTAGTTTAAACATACTTTATTGTAGAAAACATACTTGTTCAACAGTTGAAGCAAGTCTTCCTAGTGATAGACCATTTTCATCTTCTCTTGTGATTAGTGCTGTACCCAATTTGACAATAACTCGACGCGCATCTTTTATACCGCTACGGTATGATATCATTTGTTTTTGTTGTTGAGCACCATTGTTTATAACTAAAAAAAGCAATTGACGTAAGGGATACAGATGAATTGCTATAAAACTCTCTAAAATGTTACTTCAAATACTTACTTGATGATACTGTCGCTTGCGTTCTTCTAGTAATATTAGCATAAGTTCTTGTAGATTTTTGAAATACAAACGCTCGATAGAAAGTCATTGAAGAAAATATTCTGTTTCGATTGAACCTAAACATTAATACTTAACTAGTGATATTAACTCCTCGAGCAAGTTTTATATACAAATGTGTCTATATTATTTCACCAACATACAAATATATTAATTATAAACTATTATACTCATCAGTTACGGTAAAGTAATATCTTCTAATAAAAGATCAGAAATAAAAAATATCAACAAAAACTTAAACTATCTCTTTTATGCGCAAAGAAAAATGTAAATAGCATTTAACTCGTTAGTTCCTCTTGCATTTCTTTTACCGTTATCTGTATGACAACTTTTGAAGAAAAAATGATTATTATGTAATCTTCAAACATGTACATTTAATACATGATAAAACGTGAAAAACATTTTTTTTACCCTTCTTATATGCACTTATAAATAACTCAATGTTTATTCACTTAAAAATATTTTTAATATGAAAATAGAATATATTTTATAAGAATTGTTCTAGAGAGAAAGTTTAAACATCTCCATTGTTGATTACTTACATTATTGTGTATATCGTAACTTTATCTATTGGAATGTGAGGTAATCTTGATTTATATTGGCAACATAACAAATTTTAACTATCATTCTTTCTATATTTCGATGTATTCTCTTAAAATATCATAAAACGGTTGTTTTAATTTGAAATATTCCATGTCATTATCGGTTTATAATATTTAGCATTCTCCGTGTTTATCGTTCGAAGCATGATCAAATTCTATACACATACATTTTTGTTCTTTTTCCATGCGTGCTTATATTTCTAGTGTATAGTAATATTTACTGTTATATTGTATAGTGACACGATGCCAATCAACGGATAGATAACAGAGGTCAAAGTTTCAGAAAATTGTTATTTTATTTCTCAGATATATCGTCAGAGAGTTTAGAGAGAGGAGCTTAACTACAAATGGAGAGGAGGAGCTTAGCTACAATCAATCTTTTCCAATTTATTATATTTTTAATATGAAATTATTTCTCTTAGATGATAAAACTGAAAGAACATTAGGAACTCCACAAGCTTTTAAGTTGTTTGACCTTAGATATCATCATATTTTATTCATTCTTTTATGCATGTATATATACATATTGACCGTATTCGTTAAACTCAACAAAAAGAAACGAAAGATAAACTACACTATTCTATGATAATAACCATTCATCGAGTCAGATACATACACTATCCAACTTGTTTACACATGATGAAAGATCGTCTAAGTAAACTAATCGACAACAACGATAAACATAGATGAGGCATTTTGAAAAAAGTAATTTCTTTTGATTGTTTAACCCAGAAGTGTGATTATAATAATGTCTGTAAGTATATGGTGCTTGTTCTTAACATTTGAGGGACCAGGCATAGTAAAGATACTCGATTGTATCTTTTTGTGCATATATTGTATGGAATATCTCATTTTAGTAAAAAAATTACTTGTCAAAATAAGGTAAACTGTATAAATGTACTTTTAATAAATCACATCACTAAAAAACAAAGTATTTTTCTGTACAGTAGACTTATTCAATGATTTTATCTATCATTTGCTAGATTTTCTACTGAGGATATGAAGAGAAATAGATGAGATATTTCATGATTTGACTTTCAATAATCCGTTGTCAGCAAAATATTTTTAACCATCAGAGATGGAATTTATGATATTTTTTTGTTAAAAATCAAGCTAATATACGGTTAACCAGACTAAATAAGTCGCCCATACGAATGCGGTTTTGTAACTAATAAACTTTTTCTTTTGTTAGATATTATCTTGATGTAATTGGAAACATATATATTTTTCTTATATTCTATTCTAGCAGAGATAAATCTATATCTTTTCGAGAAAAAAAACGTAGAAGAATAAATGGCACCATACAAAAAAAGAGAAAATATAAAATAAAAACTTTTTTTTGCATCCATTTTACAGAGCACGTAAATGCCAATTGTTGAGTGACTATGTATATTGCGGCTGCTGATAATTCCTGAGAAAAACAATAGCGTCACGTAAGACACCGACATGGAAGAAGATCATACACCCAGGATGGAAGGAAATAATTGGTGTTGTTTCCTGATTTGTTATCGTTTTATTCTAATTGAAGAAGACGTATCACAGACGGTTTGCAAAGACTGAATCACCTTGCACCGTGTCTTGCTTAGCCGACCGCACATTTTCTCGTTTAAAATCACTCTTTTTATCATACATCTGTATCTTTAGCTGTCGCATCTGTTTTTTCACCCGTTGTCGTTTTTGTTCCGCTTGTTGTTGTTGTTCGAAAGGATGGAAATGGGGGTAGAGGAGGAGGTAACGATATTTTAGATTTGGCTGTAATAACCTTTTGTTGTGTAGTCGTATAAGTTTTATTATCACCACCGTTTAGAAACATATCTTTATTATCTCTAAAAGTGAACGAACGTGTTTTATATCGTTTCCATAGTTCATTAATAATTTCTGTAACAACAAGATCACTAGCGTTAATAGCCAATAGACGACAAACAAAGACACCATCATCTTTTAAGTAATGCAATACAAATTCTCTGGCTTGTTGTTTTTCATCTTGTGGATTATATGCAGACATAATTCCAAGATGACGTTTAATAAAATGAATCTTTTCCTCTGAAAAATAAAATTAAAACAAGATTATTAATAAAATTGTTTATATTTGTTATATTAATTTATCATTCTGTCGTATTATCCGAGAAAAATTTATATTTTATTTTATAGTAGTTTGAAGGACATATAGAAATGTTTTGACGAAATGATACCATTTCATCTCAACACTTTGACTATATGATAACAAGCACAATGTTCCTACACAAAATAATCTTCTTCTCTTAAGTTAACAATCTTTGTTTGAGAATTACGATGAAAAACACAGTAGCGACAGAACTGTTAAATTATTCTAGTTCTAAAACTTATTCACACGTAAAACATCTTACTTGGCACCGTACAATAGTACAACCATAATAGAAAATCATAAATTGTTGCTGCACTTATGGATATTAACCAAAACCATTGGATAATAAATATGACTTCGTTAAATAAATTAATTCTTAATACACACTGTACAGTATAAAAATGATTGATACCAATTTCACGTATTTTAAAATCGCTAAAGAGAAGAGAAAATAAATATATGTTTAAACTGAATGAAACATTTTTTTTTAAACAAAATTATACCAGTAAGTCACTTTTGGGAAATGTCGATTTTCGGTCCATCGTTGATTTTTAAATAATTTTTCAATAACTTCAAAACCGAATAAATAATAATCATTTCCTAAAAAAGCATTGAGTAAAAATAATTGTGCTAATGTATTAACCAACCACATTAATTTAACAATAAAATAGACGACAACTAAATAGTTTCCATAATGACGATTTGAACAAAATAAGAAAAGACGTAAAAATTTTCGTAAACAATAAAGTGGACGTTCAAAACGACGACGTGTTAATTGAGCACGCGCGGCTATATAACGTTCAATATTTACTATTAAATAACTCATGATGCGTTCACGTGATTCAAATTGTTCAACTTGTTCATATTTCTTAAAATAATAGTTTTATTCAAACATTCAGTAACGATAGAGATTACTACTTACAATAGCTGCATCAACTAAATTAACTAAATCTAATCCTGACTTAACGTTTAACGTTCGCCATACAATTCGTGGAAAATAAAATAAAAATGCTTGAAATAACAGAATGAATGGTACCCATTGATAATATAGCTAAGAAAAAGAACAAAAACCTGTGAAATGCAATCTGTTAGTCATTGAAATTTACTACTATTGGACACAGAGACCTATCATGTGCTACTGTCAACATCTAGTGATACAAGCTGCGAGACACACCGATTAGCTCATCTTGGAGACGATGTAGAACGTTAATCGGTTCAAATGTAGAGAGCATCAACTACTCGGACCCTCCTGATCTCATCATATTCATGTGTTAGACCACTCTACTCTGATTTCTAGTTGTTGCAGACACTCAATGCTCCAATCTAAGACAAACAAATTAGCGCAGAGGTGGACAAATCCAACCATTTCGAGGTCCAAGTTCATAGTGGTTTCTGCACTATGCAGTAAATCATTAGCATATATGACGGATAAATAATTTTTATCCATACATTAGATGCATGTCTAACAAAAAAAAGATTAATAAATTAGATGCCAAATTCTACCCATCCGATTGTTGATTGTGATAGATTTTAACTGCTTAGACTTCAACCGGACTTGATAAAAAGATTCTCAAATCTAAGTTCGCTGAGTCTCAAGCTCAAGTCAAGTCCATCAAAAAAAAGATTCAACTCCGGATTTGGACTTGTCCACCTCTGAATTAATGACTTTTTCCCTTCAACTAATTTGAGAATAGGACTTGTATGAAATAGATACAAAATAACTGAATATCTTTGAATACCTACAATATCTTTATTTCGTCGACCAGGCTCATCATCTGGTAAATCTTGATCTATTGGGATATCTGAAATTAATAAAAAAAAAGATTTTAATATACTATTAATGTTTCAAAATATTAAAGTCGTACAATATGTGTTAGCTATCCAACAATAACTATCAGTGTATGATTCGTACGATTGTTTAAACTGTGCTGGAACCCAGCAATCAATTGGATCACCTAAATTTAATAAACATATATTCAATTATGAATGAATTTAAATTTTTTTAGTTATGTTACCTGCATACTGCTTTGTCGTAACTAATATAGCGAATACAACGCATAGTGTCGTAGTATAACGATGACTTAAACGATCAATGTATGAATCATCATCACGAAATTGTCTTAAATGTGAAACAGATAAACCTGTTAATTGTCTAACAATTTCCATAATATTTTAAATTTTGTATATATACAACAATTTTTTTTAACATTGACATCAATTACGTTTGATAAATTAACATTCTAAAGTAAAGATTGAAAAAAACCAATTGATTAGAGAGAATCTTTTTCAAATTGTAAATAATTATGTTTAGAAACAATGATTCATAGGTTATACTTTTGAATTCTCTAGTGGAAAAGTCTTTTTAGTATATATAATGATTATGATTTTTAAAAAATAAATCTTAATAAATATCAATTGATTAATATTGTCTTAGTTTCAGTTTTCATTATTATGTCTCGTCTGATAGTTAATTTGTTTTCAGTAGAAATTTTTGTAACGTCTCTGTGGTATGAGATTGTTGATACAAAAGAATTGTTTTTCATAATAATATACACTATAAATCAATCTTATTTATCCTATCATACATTTATTTCTAAATAAACGATGATTAACACTGAACACTTCTTTCTTGCTAACTCTACAATCTGACAATGTGAAAATAGAGAAAAATTGTAGAATCTCGATATGTATTCCAATTTAATGACACTAAACATTATTAAATATATGAAACATACGATAAAGGTTAACATGAAAAAAAATAAAATAAAACAACTCTGTAGAATAATCTTTCAATATAGTTTTAAACTATTCAGCGTAAATTTCAAGACCTTTTTTTATAAAATGATTATATTCATTTAATATAATATAAACTTTTCACAAGTTCACATTTTTAATATTTTTTGTTTGAACTTACAGTTAAACCTCGTTATTATTAATATTAATAATTCGATCTAATCACACAAGAAAAAAGTTTCCGAATAACAGCCAATAATATAGTCAAGGTCTTACATCACCAGAAGCTCTTTAACAACTTCTGAAAATAAGAGAAAGAAAACAATAGACAAAGACGTCATACGAAAAAATCGAAAGTAATCGTCCGCGAAAACATTAGAAGATTTCCTGAAATAGAACAGCAACAATCACCACTATTCATATTACAACCTTCTATTTTCCAATCGATAGTGACCAATTATGTTTTAGATGTCACAATATTATTTCTTGAATAATAAATTATTTTATCAAAGTTTATGGCAGACAAATTACAAGAAATGTATAACTATGTTTCATTAATAATTTATTATTTGAATGATAAATGTACAATAGATCAAAATAAAAATAATTTTTATTTTTTATTATTCATGTTCTTACGATTTTAATAGTTTATCAAAAATTTAAAATATAACAACTCTTTCTTTTAATAAAGTTTTGAAAATATTAACAGAAAATAAATATTTTAGGATATATTTTTTTCTGTCAATTGTAGAACAATAGAATACAGTAGTAAAAAAAATTATGTCGATTATAGATACAAAAACAAATGTATGGTAGAATAGATAAGATTGATAGATATTATTATCAGATATTATTATCAATGCTTTTATTAATCCTCTCTCTAAATAACTTTGGTCAAATTAAATGTGTTCTAGTTATTTGAAATATGCCCTCAAAATTCAAAATATTATCGTAGAAAAATGATTTTGAACAATTTTTTTATATCATTAGGTAGAAGAATGTTTAATGTCAAACTGATCAGGAAAACTATGTATGGATCTCAGAAAAAATATATATATATATGTATGTATAAAATGACTTTTGAACTGTGTCAAAGTCGTGATTCTTTTACTCTATAAAAATATAGATTATATCCTACTTTCTGAGAATACCACTATTTTAAGCACCTTTTCCTTCTTTAAAATTTATAACTAAATCAAAACTATTTCATGATTAAAGAGGCTTTATGTGTTATATTAAATTATCTTTTGAAAAAAATATTCTCTCGTGTTATTGCCTATTATTCAGGTTTGAACTTGAATAACGACATTATCTCTCTTATTATCACCAGCATTATCTCACAATGATGACAAAACCAGAAAATGAAAGAGAGAGAGCGAGGGAGAGAGAGAAATTTACTTCTCCCTATCTGTCTCTACTCTATAATAACGAGAACTATAGAAGAACAAATGACGATTATGATGATGATGATTTTCCTGCATCTTATGTTCTTTCTATTGTGTGTGTTTCAATTGATACCACTACCACACACATTCTGTTAAAAATATTATCTAGAGAAAAAGTAGATATGTTAGATTGAAAAAGTTGATAAAAGAAGAAAGAAGAGAAAAAAAAGAGGAAGACCGGAGAGAACGTTCTTTGTAACGATTAGCGTTAAAAATATGGTCGATCATTCGTAAATGAATAAAAAACATGCATGTACTTATTTTATGAAATAACCGGCATGTCACACAACTGCTACAAAAATCAGAACATTCACTATCAATACTTTTTTCCTTCTATACTACTCTTTTTCTTTAAAGAAATGAGAAACTAAGATCTGTGGTATAGTCTCAATTATAGATGAAAGTAGCTCAATAGAGTAGCACAACTCATTTGAATTGCATAACTATTACTCAGGGTGAAAGAAGAATCTATTGTGTTAAATGAAGAAAAATAACCTTGTAAATCAACTGATTTTCCAAAAATATGAGATAATCAATCGTCATGGATCTTTGCTGGAACTTCATGAAACATTGACGATTTTTTAAATAGGAATGTAATCAATGTGACTTTTTACCATGAAGTAATAAATCTTGAAACAGTCAAAGTTTAGTAATAATTATCTGACATGTACTCAAAATTTCAGCTATAGGTCACTGATGTGCTTATCATTGATCTGTATAGGTTATTATTTTTCTAATCTTTGATAATTGGAAGATCCTAGTATCATTACTACTTATAGTAACTGGAAAATGCCAAGTATATTAAGGTAATTTTCATCGTTAACAACTTTCAATGTCGCATTTTCTTCTCTATGTATCATTCTTGATTTTTTTTTTCTCCAGTAAATGTGAGATAGAACAAGAAGAAGAGAAGAAAAAAAATCAATGTATTGATTACGACAAATTGTTTCAATTAGTTTAACTACACAGCAAGAGATAAAAGGACTCTGTTGCCTCAAGTCTCTCCAATAGGATACAAAAAATATATGCAAATATACGCTAACTTATTAAACGTTAATTATTTTTTGTTTATCATCTACTAAACACAGGAGTTTGATATAATAGACACACAACTAACTCGTTACACGATTGACAACATTACAATCATGCTTCTTACAGACACATAGTTCATACAAATTATGTTGTCTTCTCATACCAGTAGAATTATTTAATAGATTGAATCATTTGTTTAACTAAGAGACTTGTAGAATCTGATGGTGGTATATTATATTGAGACATTATTGCCTATACTATTATAAATCTGTTGGTATTTGAAAACTAATCGTACTATGGAAGATTCAACTAAATTCACATGTCTATTCAATCTTACCTAACGCAATAAATATTCAAATATATCTCGATTTCGAATCCAGATTACCTCCTCACCAGACAATTTTATCATCTAATAACTATGTTCAAATCCCAATGGTATTTTATTATCTACTTTTCAAAACTATAGTATCTTTGTTTAATTGATGTGCGTCATCGTTCCAAACACCTAGATTAGAACAAAAGATAATGTTTACTTTCTACACAGGAGGATCGTCCATGCACTTAATGAATGCACTTAATATTAAAAAAATTAGAATAGTCAAATAACTAACTATAAAGTCGTTTTTTTCTTACGAGCTATTAATCAATTTCCCTCTTATTTTTACCATAATAATGACACTTTATATAATTCATGCATGAGTCAACATTTTTATTTGAAGTGAATGGAATTTCACTCATTTTCTTAGCGCACAATGCAATACTAAAAAACTGTTTAAAAAAAATCCAAAGAAGAAAAAAATGAGAAATTTGTGTTTAAGTACACATTTTCTTGAATATACCATGTATATTTCGGAATAAAATTGAACAATTGCTTAGTAAAGAATATTATGATATATATAAAAAATAAACGACAACTTCGAGATACGCTATGATGTTAGCACTGAAGGTTTTGAGATTCTAGAATTGGTATAAAATAAAAATAGAAAAATGACGAAAGATAGGCATATACACAGAGAGTATGTGTGTGTGTGTGTGTGTGTGTGTGTGTGAGAGAGAGAGAGAGAGTGAAAAAAACAACATTATTTTCAATTAATGGATACATATATACTCATTTATTCTCACGCAACTGAAAATATAGCTAGTCAACTTAAAGGGAAATACACAACAAACGCATCGATTAGCAATAATTAACATGATCAGTTTGCCGATATGTTCAAATGTTATTGATATAGTGTTTTATCTCTAAGGAAATATTTGTTAACGTTGAAAAACTTGCTTCTTACCTTCTAACGCCGAATTAATCTCAATTCTTTTATTTGTTTTTCCAAATAAGGTAGACAGTTAATGTTCAAATTTAGTTATTATCATGTAGGTCACTCTTCCATGCCATGATGATAATAAGATCAGGATTAGAAAAAAAAATGACGTTTTTCTTTCTTTATCCTTTTGATAACTGTCGTCGCGTGTAAAAGAACAAACAAATGATTCGTTATCGAAAATCGATAAAAATATATTTTCTTTTCCTGTTTTCTTTTCTATACTACTGCTGACACAATAGTAAAGAACCAAAATCATTCAGTACATACACAGAATATTAGTTAATTCGAGAAGAGTGTGAGAGAAAGAAAGATGTTGTGTATTTCCACAGCCAATAATTCCAGTCT